ATTAATAAGAGCAGAGTCAATAGCGACTTTACCCATCTAAAATATCAATCATAATGTATATTTTCATTGATCATAAATCACATATGACTTGTCAAAACTACTATGAACGTAAAATGAGCTTTTCACACTATACTCTATATGATTGAAGTAAGTATGTATTAGAAGAAAAAAAAAGCTATAAAAATAATAGAAGAAGCGTACGAGATAACAATATATATGAAATTGAGCCAACACCTGCAGATAATTAGATATAAAAATGAAGAGCAAAACCTAGTCCGATGTTTTAATTGAACAATATTTCTTGTTGTCTTTTCGTGTTTGAGCATGTTTAGTTAGTGATAGACAGACAGTAGGGTTACTCGTTTGGACAAAGTCAACACAAGCGGGCGCGAATGCGAGTTGTTCTGATAAGTGCACACATACACTCACAACACACAAACGATAGAGAAAAAGCAATCAAGCATTGGGGCAGTGTAAAAAAAAAGAAAAAGGTTCAACCTTTCTTTCTTTCTATATAGTAGAGTATCAAAAAAAAAAAGCGGCGAGAGCGATAGCGGGCACGTCCCTTTTTGTCCCGATCAAGACGAAGAGAACAGAACAAGAAGAAGAAGTAACAGCGGTAGCGATGCAGTTGAATTTTCTATTATTACTACTAGTAGTAGTAGCTTAGTAGACGACGTCGTGGGTCGTCACTAACGCAAGAATGATGGTCGAGCCAAACGGTCGACAACGACGCGGGCAACCGAGGATAATCATAGCCCATCAATAAGGAGGAGAAGAAGAAGAAGAAGAAGAAAAAAGAAGAAAAGTTCGTGCAGACATCTATTGGAATGTCTTCATGTATACAGAACTATTATAACTATTTGACGAAGACATAATATTATTGTAGATGTATATATTATTCTCATAGCGTTAAACCAAAATTATAACGACTATTTATAGTTTTCAAGGATAGAAAAATAAGAAAAAAACAAAATAACGCATTTTGATTCCTATCTATAATACTCACTAGTTTTTCTTGCATTCTCATACACATCACATACTGTGTCTACTATTTTAGGAGCCTTGCAACATCACATCCATCCACACATCACATAGAAAATAAGAGAAAGAAAGGAAAAAAAAGAAAGGGAAGACTGCTTTCTCGTTATATTTTGCGACCGAATGAGTTATATGTGTGTACGTGTAGTGCATAGTGTTGGATGAATATTTTTTCTTTTTTCTTTTTTCTTTACTACCATTAACGCAAGCAAGCAAGCGCACGAACGAACAAAAAGAAGAAGAAAAAAAATGCCGCACTCTCGTTGGCGGACTCAAGCGCGTATAGAGAAAAATGTAATTTGATCATCGTCGTGCAGACTCTGACTGATTGATGATAGATGTAAAAGAGCGACAGACAACCAAGAGAAGAAGAGAAAGAGCGGGAGCGATGTGCGCACGAACTATGGACATGGCCTTCATACGATAGAATATTTCTATTGGTCTATTAATTTTTTTTTTTTTCATTCACTCGTCTGTATATTTGTGAATTATGTTGATATTATCAATTGAAAGAAAAAAATAAGGATAAACCTAGATGCAATTAGACACAAGCCGAACAAAAATAAAAATAATGATTGAATAGGCTTTTATAGAAAATCGGGACCTTGTAGCTAGACATTATAGTGTCATGAAGGATGTAGATTAAAATTTGAGATAACGGAATAGAAAAACAAATCGTATTCATTGTAAATTATTTGCTTAATCAGTAATGTCACTTAGAATGATTCTTGAGTATTTACAAAGAATCTGATACAAATACTTGAGGAAAAAAAAACGTATGCATTCAATTCGATTTATTTGCTTATAATTCGATACGTCTCAAATGACATTTATAAACATTGGAATTCCAAACAAAAAAAAAAGAATTATTCGAGCAAAGTCAGTAGAAGCCATCCGTGATGGAACTGTTTAAATTGTGGATAGATGTACATGAATTTTTCAAAGAAATTTTATCATTTTTAAATAAATTGCTTAAGTTTTTCTAAATCTAAAAGTTTATGCAACAATAATAGACAAAAAAGCTAGATTTTTGATAGTAATTGAATGTATCGTTTTTTTTTCGCTGATCTGACCTCAAGTGTATAAATCTTCATTTTATATATGCAGAGCTTGCTTGACCGGAAGATTGTCGGCATTCGAACAATTCCTTGTAATCAAGATAATTCTCTTTTCTTTAACAACTGTCGCCAAAAAAAGTCTTATATCTGCATTTTAAATGGTCTCTCTGTTGGAATAGTCAATCACTTACTTTTAGATCTATATCTGAATCTACTTTCTTTTCTTTTTTTTGTTTTGGAGATATTCAGTTGCAACTAGATTATAAATATTAAAACTATAATTTTAAACTTATCATTGATTGGTTACGAAACGCAAAGCAAGGGAACAATGGTGGTTTTTTTTGTCTCTTTAATTGATAATTCAAGAAGAAAGATAATTTAAATTCGTTAATTCTCTCTACACATATTTTTAGTTTAGTTGTCTGCTAAACTTACCAACACCATATGAATTATCAAATCTGTGTTCTATTAATAATAAAAATATTCCATTTAATATACATAGCTGCAAGCGTTCTATGGTATTAAATAAATAGAATTTATTTAGAAATTATTCTACTGATTATAACACGAACAATGAGATAGATGTTAAGATTTAGTTGACTATTGTTAATAAGAAGGTATGCGCATATGTACTTTAAAATGGTTAACATATTTTAGATATGGTCACATCAGGTATCATAAAAACACTTAAAATTTTGTAAGATAAGTACTAATCGAAAAAATAATCATTATGTTAATTGCATCTGTTACTTTTGAGAAGATATTGATTTTGCTTTTCTATATTCTCAACATCTTAAGACAGTCCATTCTCGAAAATCAATCTTCGACTAGGTATATTCAATTTTGAAACTGGAATTGAGAGATTATGTTAAACTTATCATTATATTTTCGGAAGATATTCAACAAACAAAGATAAAAAAAATACCTTCATTGTCGAAGTAAAATTCTCTAAGGGTCCTTATTCTATATATATATGAACTCTTTTTTATGTAAAAAAACATATCAGTCTGTAGGCCTTTTTTTTTGTTCATTTTTACCTTTTACATGGAGAAAAAGGATAACAAGTTCAATACCTCGAAAGATGGTCATCTATTTATAGAAGTGCTGTTTTTTATATAAAAATAAAAAAGCTTAATTGAAAAAAAACCGGTTCTACCAATCATTTATAGCTTCACATGTTCTTTCAAATAAAAAATAACATAATTCGCTACAATGAAGCTCTTTATAAACAACGAAAAAAAATTGTTGCTTTTTCTGAACAGCATAGCAGATGATAACGGATCATGTTGTTTATGAAAGATCTGACATCAACCTGTCCTCTTATGCATTCATCTTAATTTCTATAGTACTGACAACAATGAACTATTTTTGTTTTGGAAGAAAGTCTCAAAGAATCTACGAAATATAATAAATACAGAGAATATCTTGTTGATTTATTTCTTTAAACGAATAACAAAAAAAAGTGATCTAATCAATTTTCACGACAATATGAATGCTATGGTTCATTTTTATCATATTATTTTTCAAAAATTGAATTTAATAGGTCAACTATACAATAATAAAATCCGTATCAATTTTACATTGATAACATATAATTTAAAATGTACATAAGCCAATTACTCCAATCAGAAAATACAATACATTGTCTTCTTTTTTTTCTCTTTATAATCAATGAACAGCAATCATTGGTATCTCTATTTGATTATTACATGGATAATATTTAACATGGTCATAAAAGAGATAGAGGGTACTGTACACATTAAAAAAAGTTTGTATGCCTGAAAAATCGATCTCGGATCGGGTATATTCAAATCATATGAAATTTTCAGCATATGTTGGGACTGTAGTGAAGAGGCTATAGTGGAATTTTCATTCCTATACAATTATGTTTTCAGAAGATATTCAACGAATAAAGGTCAAAAATAGCTCATTTGGCAATCCAAAATTACTTGTGGACTTCCAGTCTATATACTTAATTTTTTTTGCTTGAAAGAGCATAACAGAGTCTTGATTTTTTTTTTGAATTCGTAATTTTTAAGCGGAGGAAAGGGATGAAAAGTTCAATGTATTAAAGAATGGTGCTCTAATTATAAAAGTACTCTTGTTTAAGAGTAACAAAGTTTAATCCGAAAAAGGGACTCTATCTTGCCCTACAACTTAACATATTCTTTTTAACCAAAAAAAATCAATATGTAGAACAAAGAGCGACAGAGAATTTTGGGTTGCACGATCAAAACATATTTTTCATGTAGTAGATGGCAGCAGTCATGAAAAATTTTGATAAAAAAACGAGATGTCAAATATTTATGAAAGATCAGACGTCGGACTATCTTCCCGTACATTTATCTAAAATTTAATTTTTCTGATGAAAATTGAACTTTTTTTAAGAATGAAGAGCCTACTAGAAAGATTAAATCATTTAAACAAAAATAGCTTGAATTGAATTAGCTTTCATATACATTTCTAACTTATTTTTGATAAACTTCATATTTTACTTTCTTTCATTTTTTTTTCATTTTCGTTCTATTTAATTAAATAGTCTACATTGCTTCCAATATTTCAAACCTATTTCTGATTAAAATAATGATTATTATTGCTTCATCTAGACATCCATCCATATTCTTTTAGACTTTCTTGTTTCCGATAATTTCTTATTGTACTTCATAAGACACCAGTAATTGTCTTGAACACATAGTGCTAATTAATTATAATAGGGAGGAATCTTCCTTTGATGTTTTTTTTTTAAAGATTTTTAGAGAGAAAAAAAAACACAGAAACAATGATACAGATAATAAACTATTTCACTTGATTTCAGTTATAATAACTGAAATCAAGCAATTTCATTCATCAGACAATATTTGACTCTAATAACAACAATAAATAAATACATAAGTGCTAATTTCATGATGAATTATTTTCTAAACTTAATGAATGTATTGTTTGTTCAACGGTATTTTCAACCATAGTCCAATGTTTTTCTATATTTAAACCTTTATACATTCTTTGAATCATATCTAAAATACTTTGAACTAATGATAAAAATCTTATTGTAGCTTCATTAAAACCATATTGATAAATTAAATATTTCCAAAACATAGTTACAAATATATCTTGTATATTTATTAAAATTTTTGGATTAAATATTATTTGAATATTTTCAGTATAATTTATTGTAACAGGAGCACAATTACTTGAAAATGTCATAATCATTAACATTATTTTAATTAATGTTCCATTTTGTTGTAAACGTTGACTTGCTTGAATAACACTATTTGAATAACCATAACCATAAATATTATCAATGAATTTTGAACATGCTTCATTTTCAAATATATTCATTTCTTTAGCAAGAAAAAATGCATTAAAACTACCAACAGCATTTAAATTACGTTTGATCAATGCTTGACGAAAATTAAGAGGTAATGAATAAAATAAAGGACAACGTTCAATAAATATATACATATTTGAAAATAAAGTTCCAATATAATTAAGAGTATTCGAGTTTTTAGAACGAATTTTAGGTGGTAAAGAAAATTGATTTTTAAGAAAATCTGTTGTTCGACTACATAAATTTTGTTCATCATAAGCATTAATTATATTCGATAGGAGATTCCATTCATCTGGCGTTAATGTTGAACGATCATTTTCAAGCAAACTAAGGGGTCTTGGCTGAAATATAACATAATTAGATATAAATAAATACAAAATATTTATTCAAATAAACCTTTGATAATTCGATTGTTTTCTTTCGTTCATGAGAATGACGAATTAATTGTACGTCCATTCCAGTTTGAAAACATTTTTTTAATCGACACGGTAAACAACATTTTCGTGTTTTTCGTGTTATACTACAATTATCATCAAAATGACACTGTTGTTTTAGCTAAATAAATAATATTTCAAAGGATCTTTTTTTTTGTTTTTGTTATTCTATAATTATCTCACTAGTGATAATAGTGCATGTCGTCGAAAAAACATTTTACATGACATACATGAAATAACTGAAAAATTTAGACCACGTGCTACATCGCCACATATACGACAAATCAATGGAGATGGAAGTTGATCTTTGAATTCTGAATGGTTTAGATTCATAATTAAAATTATTTAGATTGATAAGATTTTTGAAAAATTTTTAATATCTATCGTATATAGTTTACTAAAATAGAGAAATAATTACATGTGAAAATATTCTGAAATTTCTCTACAAATGAAAGAAAATGTTTAGAAATACTCATTAGAATATTAAGCACATCTTCATGTTACATTTGCAGCAAAACCCCTGAACAAAGATTAATTTATGAATACTCTTAACGGCAAAGTTTTTGACAGGAAAGACATTTTTTTTTGTCGAAATATTAAATATCTTGAAGAAATTCTTGTACGATACGGAGAAATGAGAAGTAAGACATTTCGGTAGAAAAGCTTTTCTTTTATTTAAAATTTCTAGTGTTCTAATAATTATTAAATTCATTTTCAACAAACAAGTTTAATAAAGCGCGTCTTACAGCTAAAGGAAATTTCGTGGATATTTTGTTTTCATACCACTTTCTAATAAGTCCAGTTATGTATATTATAAATATTTATAATAATTTAAGAAGATTAATTCATAGCTTAACTTTAGCACAAAATAATTTTACGAAAAAATAGTTAAAATTAAAATAATACAGCAGTTTTTTATTTTATTTACTCACTGCGATTTTTTTCTTTTAGTCAGAAACTATATTTTAATAAAACGACACTCACCAGTGTGCAATATATTGTTTCTATTTTCATCTGCCTTTAGAAATATATAAAGAATATGTAATTTGCATTATTGTTCGAGTGAGAGGAAAAAACATCTTAAACTCTACTGAAACTATAGTAGAAAAAAAGTACGTCATTTTCTTAAAGTACTTTTGCAACACTTATCGAAATAAACAGTTCTTATTTTTAGGACATCTGAAGAAGACAGAAATAAATGAAATAAATAAAAAAAGCAAAGGAAATATTTCTTGAAGTAAATGACATCTATTTAAACAGATTTCTATCATGATTATTCTTAAAAATTATTATAAATGGACAGATATCAATTTAAATTTCGAACAAGTTTATGAAATGTTTAATATATATTCTAATTAAAAAAAGATATCTTTTCAAAATTGTTTACCTAAATATAATCACTTAAAAAAAAATGAAACATACAAACCAGAAACTAGTAACATGAGATCTATATGCATCATTCTTATAGCATGAGAACATGTTCCTCACCATATATTCTCTTTAAGGAAGAAAAAAAATGAACGAGGTGTGGAAAAAGGCCAACAACACCGAAGTGAATGAGGAAGAAAACAGATTTAAAGATAATGATAGCTCAAATTAATGGACAACATCATGCGCAAGGGATTTTATAATGTAAAAAAAAAAAAAGAATATCTTAGAACGCAATTATTCAGATACAACAAAAAAAATTTTATATCATAATAACATACGAAACAAAAACAAATGATGTCTACAAAAACTGATTCAATAGAATAAAGTGTTGTATTTTAATTATAAAATAATTACTGTGTTCTCTGATAAGCTTACGTTTAATAGATTTCCATTGACATGAAGATAATATTTAATTGATGATAAAGATAGAAGACAAATTTCTTTTTCTCTTGTTTATTGAAGAATCTTCTAAGATTACATATGTATTCACTAGTCAAATTATATAAGGATCAAGGTATATGCTATTCGTATGAGAAAAGACACATTATCTTCTTATGCTGTTCAGAAAACTAACTCATCAATATAAATACTGAATATGTTTCTCAGTGTACTTAATTACAAAAAGTTTTTTTTTTTCTTCAGGATAAATATAATCACTTTTAATCATGAATACATTTCTTATCATTCATTCCTTGACAAACTAAACAAAAAAAAGAACTCTTTTTTTCAAAAGAATACTATACATAAAACAGATGTGATATTTAAGATTTTTATTGAATATTTAAATGAAATAAAATGAATGTCAAGCACTTCAATCACATAACTTTTTCATAGATTAGATACATTACTTAAAATCTATATTCATTATTAAATAAGAGAAAAAATTTGAGACAAAGAACAAATTACTATGTCACTATTCATAACTAATTAAAACGGAGAGAAGATATGAATATGTTGGACGCAATTAAAGATAAAAGAAAACGTTTACTTAACATGCATGTAATCTTCGTAGATGTATATAGGCTGCTACTTTAAAGTAACATGCAGAATAAAAAAGGAGAATCTTTTAACTCACTTTTAGTCAAAAGAGAACATAGGATAATAATGAAAAATATAAATAAAAAAGCGATTTTGTATTCTTTGTAAAAAATACCATATGTCATCAATTCTCATGATCATCTGTTTTTCAATAGATTTAATCTATATTCGATCTTTTAAATAATACCTGAAATTTACTTCATAAAGAATGAAAATCAACCAGACTCAATATCATAATCTTTCTATTTTCTTTCATAATGTTTTAGTGACCAGAAATCTTCGAAGGGTTAAAAAAAAAAAGAATAGAAATGATTAAATACTTCTCTATCATGTAAGTGCAACATGACCATATTGATTTATCCTAGTTGAAATCTATCTTTTGTTCAACTCTTCGAACTAATTTTCTATCTTCTCCGTCAAAAATAATAGGAAAAAAGATTTGCATTCTCAAATAAAATATAATGAGATATTTTTTATAATAGAGAAATTCAATCTATTGATAGGGATTAGAAAAGCAAGAAAACAAAAAAGTGTAAATTAATGTAAAACAGCAATCGATATGAATAATATTTGAATATCAGCAATGACAAAGATATCCTATGTCAAACATCACAACGTTATCAGGAAAAAAATGGCACAATTGAGTAACTGCTTTATAGATACATGGCAACTTTTTAATATTTAGAAAACATTAAGGGGACACCCCCCCTTTTCGGGGTTTCTCGAGAACGGCTCATCAGAAAAATTTGAAAGTTTCACAGCTGATAGATCTCGATGTGTAGAGTAAAAGTTGTCACAGACTCAAAATTCCCAAATGCTTCTTTCTAGGAGATATTGGGGTTGCAATGGCTAAAAATCGCCGCTCAAATCGCCCCCGTTTCTCAGGTACAGTAAATCCGATTGGGCTGTAATTTTTCCTACAGATAGTAGAGACACTTTAGGGGGCCTACTTTTTTTGGTTTCTTTCTATCACTTACCGTTCGAATAAAAAAGCCAAAATACCAAGAGCACCCTAAAAAATCCATATTTTTTTCAATAGTGCTTGTCTTGTAAGGCCTGCCAAAACTCAACGGTACAATATTTTTCAAAACAAAAAAAATTAGGCCCTCTAAAGTGTTTCTACTATCTGTAGAAAAAATTTCAGCTCGATCGGATTTACTGTTCCTGAGAAACGGGGGCGATTCTGTAGATTTTTGCTGAAAAATCTGGCTCAGCGGCGGATCTAGGATTTTTTTGATAGGGAGCGATTTTGATCAGATAGTGAGTTTCGAAGTTTATTAGTAGTAGTATGAACCAGAACTCCGCAGAACGACAAAAAAGTCGTCCCACCCCGTCCCATGTCCCTGCGCTTTCTTGTGCTATCCTGTCCCATCTCATTTAATTTTTCTTTCAGAGTCCCATCCCGTCCTGCATCCCACGCTGTCTTGTCCTGTGAGAAGTCACATCCCGTTCCACCAAATTTTCAATTTTATCGCCCGTCCCGCTTCTGGACGGGATGGGATGGGACTTGTCCCGTGTCCCGCGGAGCTCTGGTATGAACCCTATTTAATGGCTTTTCTGCTGGGAAAAATCGAAAATTTTTTTTCGAATGGGGGCGATCGCCCTAAGTGCCCTCCCCCTAAATCCGCCATTGATCTGGCTTCTAGAAAACCGCGAAGGAAAGAAAAAATCGTGCTATACCCCTACGGCAATCGATTTATCTTTTCGATTTTATTTTTGCTTTAGAGCTATATTTGAGTTCTCAAAACGTTACCAGTAGATAGAGGGCACTTGAAAACACATGTAGAGCAGAAAAAACAAACAATGAAAAATTTGAAAATATTGGGTCCGGAAAGGGGGGGGGGGGGTCCCCTTAATATCCATGAAAGTTGATCAAATAAATATGGTTGAATGACACAATGTTTCTTTGTTTCGAGAAGTAATTCATTTTTTTTTCTTTCTCTCATCTGTCAATAAGCCGTCCAATAAATTAGGAGAAAAACAATGTCGTTTGTTTCAAAAAATAAAGAAAATAATAAACATGATTGGTCATCTGATGCATTACTTGAATTATCTGATATTGGAAATAAACAATTACGTACATTAGAGAGCATGAATTTCTCTCATATTCATATAAAATGTCAACAAGAATTGGAATCATGGCATTCAGCTGCTGTGGCACATCTTGGTCAAATCTATTCACAACGTTTAGCAGATCTAGCACAAGTTTATACTCAAGATGTTTGTCCTGAATCGGATAAATTCAAATAGAAAATGATTGATCAACTTAAAATTCGTATTATGCCAAGAATTAGTAAAGCTCTTGATGATCCAACACCTGATCCAGAGAAAGTTGACAAAATGCAGGTATGTATATACATCAAATAGGGTTCAATGGTTCCAAAAAATGGAACCGAAACTGACTTTTTTTTTAAAACTACTTGGAACGGGAACCGTTCAATCACCACATAGAGACAAAAAAAACTCAAACCTGTTTCGAAATATCATGATTTTCTCATTTTTTTGAACGTTACAGATTTCAGTATACACGTATAACAGTTTTATTTAAGTAATTAAATGTGTGGCGTCTTTGGTTTTAAGACTTAAAGAGTAAAATTTATCAGAATTGATTTCAATTTCTTATGTCTATCTGATGACTTAGCGGTTCTGGATACACGTAACATTCTGGAAGCCGCCGAATTCTAACATCAAATATTGCATTTAAGTCTTTGAGATAAAGTGAAAAGTTTAATAGGAGTAAAGAATTCTCACATTTACACTTCCATAGACTGTTTAAAAATCGTTTGAAAAATACTAAAAGATATTTCATAAAACATCTAGCAATAGGTATCATAGAGTGTTCATCCTTCCGAATAATACATAAA